AACAGAGTGAGACTCTGTCTCAAAAAAAAAAAAATATAGTGAAATCAGAAATGTTATACAGAGAGAGTCTGTAGCTTCATTTCGTTTCTGTGTTTGAGATGGCAAAGGCATATAAAGCTGTGAAAAACTGACATATACAAGATTATCTTATTTTATTTTTACAGGTATCAATTGAAATCGAAACTCCTACCCAGATATCTTTAGTTGATGAAGCATCGGGCGAGGTAACTAAATATTAAATATCATGTGATTTTAAAAACATTTAGTGCTGAAGTGATTGTTTATCTTTCTTGATTTTGAATGTTCATTTAACCATAAATAAAAATTTAGTCATTGAATAAGTTTTTAGGGGAGAAAAAACCCAAAACATTTGTGATTGTCTTAGTCCATTTGGACTACTATCACAAAAATACTATAGACTGGGTGTCTTAAACAACAGACATTTAGCTCTCAGTTCTGGAGGCTGAAAGTTCAAGATCAAGGCTCTGGCAGATTGGTTTCTAGTGAGGGGCTGCTTCCTGGTTCTTTTTTCTGTGTCCTCGCATGATGGAAAGGACAAACATGCTCCCTTGGGCCTGTTTTATAAGGGCACTAATCCCATTCATGAGGGCTCCACCCTCAAGAATTAATCACCTCCCAAAGGTCCCCCTCCTAACACCATCGCCTTAAGCATTAAGATTTCAACTTAGGAATTTTGGGGGACACATTCAGTCCATAATAGTGATTTATTTATTTCCTACTTTGAAAGGATCAGACATGGCTGATTTTTTTGGTTAAAATTGTTCCTTTTTAGTATTACATGCTAATGATGGGAACCCTAGTTGTTGATATTACTACATGGTATTGTCATATTTATTACACTTATTATAATGTTCAGGATATAAAACGGTGGTTAATATTTTTGCAGAAAATTTATGTATATCGTCATTTTTTTCTGAATCATTATTCAAAAAGTCACTGCTCAAGTGGGTAAAATTTATTTTTCATCCTTAAATTTAGAAGTAGTACTTTTGTGAATGTGTTATTTTAATAGGAGGTAGAACTATGGACCTGCTTTTTTGTTTTTCCCCCTGAAATTATATGCAGGGCTAAAAATTTTCCTGTTTGATCCAGTTAATAGTCATTCTGTAGCCTGATTATAACACATTGCTTTGATATGTTTAACTTTGAGGGTGTCTTGTGTTGCGTGAATGTGATCAGAACAGAAACTGATTTTTTCAGATATTTCTTCTTTGAAAAGATCAGACAGTTGAAGTATTCCTCTCTGCAAATTATCATCCCAAGGGGAGACTGCAGGGCCAGTTTCGGGTGGGTTAAAACAGAGGGGGAGGGGGCAAAAGATGCTCTAGATTTTTTTCTAGATACCATCCTGGATGCAGACAACTGCTTTTCCAGGGAATTGTAATTGATTCAAGGCCTTTGTCACATACAGGGATATATGGTGAGAAGCTTTCCCCAGGCCAGATGGCCAACAGTGGGCAGGCTTTGGGGCAGTCTTGCTGCCCCATTCTGATCCTTCATTCCTCTTCTTGTGGGCCATGGCCTTTGTGCAGTTTATCCAGCACCAACTGGTGGGAGGGGCCTTTACAGTGAATAAAGTTATACTGGTGTGAGGAGTCACATCACGGAGCAGCAAGCTGGTGTGTGCAGAGCCCTCCCCACTTGCCGCTGGCCAGAGAGGCACTGGTGCCCTGCAGGGCCTGCCCTCGAGGGACAGTATAATCTACAGTGCGTATGCGGACCAGGCTACATCCAGGCTTGTTTTTTTTTCAAACAGCTTCATTGAACTATAAGTCCAAGTCACAGAATTATGTATTTTAGAGTGTTTTCGGCCAGACGCAGTGCCTCACGCCTGTAATCCTAGCACTCTGGGAGGCGGAGGTGGGAGGATCATTTGAGCTCAGGAGTTCAAGACCAGCCTGAGCAAGAGGGAGACCCTGTCTCTACTAAAAATAGAAATTGGCTGGACAACTAAAAATACATAGAAAAAATTAGCCGGGCATGGTGGCGCGTGCCTGTAGTCTCAGCTACTCGGGAGGCTGAGGCAGGAGGATCGCTTGAGCCCAGGAGTTTGAGGTTGCTGTGAGCTAGGCTGATGCCACCGCACTCTAGCCCGGGCAACAGAGCGAGACTCTGTCTCAAAAAAAAAAAAAAAATAGAATATTTTCATCACTCCAAAAGAGAAACCCTGTACCTATTACACTCACTCTCCATTCCCTCCTCCCCCAGCCCCAGCAACCACTACTGTATTCTACTCTCTGTCTCTATGGATTTGCCTATTCTGGACATTTCACTTCCCCAGAATGACACAACGTGTCATCTTTTGTTTCTGGCTCCTTTCATGAAGCATGATGTTTTCAAGGGTCATCCATGTTGTAGCATGAGTCAGTACTTCATACCTCTTCATGGCCAAATCACATTCTGTGTATGGCATATCAGACCACATTTTGTTTATTTGTTCATCAGTTAATAGACATTTGGGCTGTTTCCACTTTTTAGCTCGTAAGAATAATCCTACCATGAACATTTGTGTACAAATTTTTGTGTGGACGTAAGTTGCCATTTCTCTTGGTTCTATAACTAGCAGTGGAATAGCTCAGTCTTTTGGGAACTCTATGTTTAATCATTTATTAAGTGGGCGAGGATTCTAATTGTTTCCAGGGTTTGGAGAGTGAGGAAATTGGGGGAGAAAAGGCATATCGTTGAGAGGTACTTGAATGTGTTCTATCGAGGAGAGTTTTATTTAGCTAAGTCTTAATGATAACTTCTATTACTTTTTTTTTTCTTTATTTTCTTTATAGAAGGAAGAGATTGTTGTGACTCTCTTACCAGCTGGTCACTGCCCAGGATCAGTTATGTAAGGGGGCTCATCTATTTTGCCATTATTATAATGTAGATATGTATTATATTTGTAGAAATAAGTTTTTAGGGTCTAAAAATTAATATGGATAGGGAGATTTGATTAGTCTTCTGGCCATTTCTTTAATCTTTGTTTCCAAATTGAACTTGGGGGATGGAGGTGAAGATCAAATTCGAAGCGTGGCTCTCTAACGATGGAAGTCTTCAATTACTATTTCTCCACTGACTTTGCATTCTCTTGTCACGTGGATTTTTCTCTCCATGAATAGGAATGATCTCAATATATAACTGAGAGTACTAACAAATCACAGGGAGCTTCTATTACAAACTCAGTGGTATCTCCATTCTGTTATTTCTTTCTACCCCGGGAAAGAGGCAACAGTTAAGTGCCTGGTGTGGTTTTAGAGCTATAGGAATTCCATTAACACTGTTATCACAAGAGAGGTGTTCAGCAGGACGCATTTGCTATGGATTTGGCATGCATTTGCTTTATTAAGATTTTGTATGAGACATAGAAGTCACCAAGATGTATTTCCTTTTCAGGTTTTTATTTCAGGGCAATAATGGAACTGTCTTGTACACAGGAGACTTCAGATTGGCGAAAGGAGAAGCTGCCAGAATGGAGCTTCTGCACTCTGGGGGCAGGTACTGGGCCTTATACAGCTCTTGAATGTGAGACTGCATGGTTTAAAAAGTTTTATTGCTCTTTTCCCACCAAACACAAGCCTTTGTTTTTGTTAGAAATCAAACTCGATTATACTATTTGTAATAGTTAAGCAAAGTTTTCTCCATGACATGGGATATCTGAATGTCCTCTACTGGATCAGGGCAGTAGTTGCATGAATTTGTCAAAATTCACTGCATGATTTATGGAAAATCCGTGTATTTTTATTGTATGGAAATCATTTCCCAGCAAAGTTGATTTAACAAAAATATTCCAAATGGAATGGAACACCCTGTAAAATAACTGGGAGTTTAAATCTTATACATAGTTTATATCCCCTCGGATGGCTAACAGCAGTTTATTTTCTTTTTTTTTCAGAGTAAAAGACATCCAAAGTGTATATTTAGATACTACTTTCTGCGATCCAAGATTTTATCAAATTCCAAGTCGGGTAAGTCTGCCTGGACGAACGTGGCCGTAATTCTAGCAGGAGGGTTTTTAGGATGACAGATCAGATTGTTTTTGTCCCTGTTGGCACGAGTACCCGTGAGTGTCAGGAATGAAAGAGTAAACGAGGCTCTTCACAAATGTCTTAAAAATCCTGTCTAGGGGGAGTGTTTGAGTGGAATCTTGGAGCTCGTTCGCAGCTGGATCACTCGGAGTCCGTGCCATGTCGTGTGGCTGAACTGCAAAGCAGCTTATGGCTACGAGTATTTGTTCACCAACCTGAGTGAAGAATTTGGAGTCCAGGTATGGCGACTGACTGTTCTTTTCTCTCTCACCCTTCCATTCTCCCAATTTCTTCTTTCCTTCCCCTCCCTACCTCTAAATAACCAAAAACAGTGACAGATGGAAGCAACCTATCAAAACCGTGTTTGCAGCAGAGGTTGGCGGCCCCTCCGACGTGACGTCATCTTTGTTTACTCACATCCTTATGGGAGGAAACCGACAGGAGCTCAGATGGCTTAGGAGAGCCTTCAAGTGAAATGCCCCATAGAGGAAGTATTTTTTTCCAAACTGTGGGTCATGAAATAAATTTAGTGATTGTGACCAGCACTGAAAATAAATTTGAACTAGAAGGTATCGGCATGTATTGCTTGCTGTCAGGGTCATTATCATTTTGGGAACAGAGAAGCAGGTGTATGTGTATCTTTAAGGGTAGTTGATTCCTGATTGTTTTTGTCTGCTTTGATCACTGCTGTATACCCAGTATTTAGAACCAAATGTGATGACATACAGTAGGCTCACAATAAATATTAATTGAATTCCTTCTGAAGGACGAAAGGACAGTATTAGCAGGATCAGATGAAATCCATAAGCCGAGTCTCTATAACATTTTATTTCCACCAGTGACCCAGTTGGACTTGTGCCTGTTGACATCCTGGCAGAATACTAACATGCACATTGAAATAGCCAAAAACTAGGTTTCAAGAAAGAAGAGGGGGTCAGTTCACTAACTGGGTGTTTTGCTCTGAATATTAACAATGTATTTATAGGAAATGTATTTCAAATAATTTCCTTATGTCTGTTACTTCCCTTAGGTTCATGTGGATAAGCTAGACATGTTTAGAAACATGCCTGACATCCTTCATCATCTCACGACAGACCGAAACACCCAGATCCACGCCTGCCGGCATCCAAAGGTACATACGCAAATGATTTATCTCGTATTGTTTGTGTGACCCTTAAAAAAGATTTTTAGGTTGAGAAGAAACCTCAGAAATTCCATTTTTTAGGCTCCATACTTTATAAATGTACAAACTGAGGCTATATTCCTAAATCGTCAGCTCAAGTTCATGCAGCTATACATTACTGTAGTCCATTACCATATACTTCATAATTAGTAAACAGACACAGATCCTTATAGTTTTCTGATGAAATCTATTCATACAGATTTGAGAATGCAAATTTGTTTGTAATGAAAGTAGTAGTATGTTATAGCTTATAATTTAAGGAAACATGCCTCATCCACCGCTATTTATTTTTAAGACATGACATGACCATGCTTATAAACTATTTGTCTTCTACTCATTTGAAATAAATATCTAAATAAACTTTACTTCACACTTTGAAATAGTTACATGTATTGATGGTCCTATTTCAAATGTATGTTTCCAGTGTCTCTGTAACTCACTTGTGATAGTTTTCTAATGCCACCATTAGACCCCCTTCGTTATCAAATGTCAGGAATGAGACTTCCATTTTGAATTTGCCTTTATATATTTTTTTCAATTAAAAAACTAAATTTCAGTTTTTCAGTTTAAATTGTCATGTCAAATTAATGATGTTCAAATGTAATGGTATGAGTGAATCTAATTTTCCTCCAAATTTTAAAATATCTTAAGCATTCAAATGCTGAGCAATTTTTTTAGTAAATACTGCATTTATATCTTTAGATCACCACTGTTGTAGTATTATTGGCTCCGTCAGCCAAAAGCCTAAAGTTGCTTGGCCCTTATGATAAAGCATAATTTTAAACCAAAAAAGAATTCTTATCTGCAGCATGGACTGTTCTTCTGTAGGTCACTGTAAGAGCTGCAAGGTAAGAAATTACTTCTGATGATTGGTAAGCTGTATATTCTATCTTGCATTCATGAATTTATTTCATTTTTTTAATGTGTGTGTACTTAAATACATATATATTCATATACATACACTTAGACGCATATGCAGTGGATTCTCAGATGGATAAAAATGTAGATATTAAATATAAATAATTTTGTACTTTTTTCTATTAGACTTATCGTCTTTGGTCCCTTGTATTACAAATCTTTTAATTGGCAAATTTCTTTTTGCTCTGAATTCTCTCACATCCCACAAAGTAGCTTAATTTGTAATTGCTACTGCTGTCATAGCTACTTTCCTGAGACACTGCTTCTAGCAGCTTAAAATATTTTTTAGATCACACAGCCTTTAAAAATACTGGCAGGTCCGGAGCTTGTGGAGTCCTGTCTTCATCCTCTTCCCAAGCCTCGTGAGAAACAGCACCAAAGGCACCCTGAAGAAATCAGACTGGGATGGAGTACTAATGGTTTTGGAGGACCCAGAAGTAAAAATAATGTCTTTGGAAAAGTCATCCTATTATTTTTGAGCCGTTTGAAAACACTTTTATTATTTTTTTTCCCTCCAACTTTATTTTAAAAAAAATATAAAACAGCAAAGTTTTAAGACTAGTTAGTATAAAGAATGCCATATTCCCCAGATTGGCCCGTTTGTTAACACTGCCACATTCTCTCTCGTGCTCTCTTTCTCTGTGTACGTGTAACCAAGCCCCCCACCCCAAACCATTTGAGAGTATGTTGCAGACTTGATGGTACTTCACCCCAAATTCTTCAGCATGTATCTCTTAGAATAAGAACATTCTGCCCTGTAACCACAATATTATTCCTCCACTCAGGAAATTTAGTGTTGATACAGTAATGTTAGCTAGTACATAGGCCATAGGCACATTTCCCCAGTTGTCCTAGAGTGTCCTTGATAGCTTGTGGGGCAGGCAGAGGAGTCTGGGGGACTTAATTAAGGGTCATGCATTGCATTCAGTCAGGCCTGAAGGGTCTCTTGATGTAGGTCACGTCCTTAGCCCTTCGCTTCTCTGTCCTCACGTTGATGCTTCTGAACGGTCCAGGCCAGTTGTTCTGTAGAATGTTCCCCAATTTGGAATTATCTGATTGTTTCCTCATGTCTACATTTGTTTTTCATGTCTGAAAACTAACCTACCTTTGTTTTTGAGACCCTTCCTATAAACAGATTTGTCGAAAATGTACAACCGTTTTTCTACGTTTTTGATCTTTTTTAGGCAGAGGAATATTTTCAGTGGAACAGACTACCCTGTGGAATTACTTCCAAAAATAGGATTCCACTCCGCACAATCAGCATTAAGCCATCCACCATGTGGTTTGGAGAAAGAACCAGAAAAACAGATGTCATAGTGAGGTAAGAAAGCAATGTCATAGGTCTTCTGAGAGAAACCTGGTTTTGAGGTAAACTGTCTGATTTAATCTAGTTTAAATGCAGTCCAGGCTAAGCCCAAGAAGAGGATATAATATTAGAGTCGTGGGAAATAACTTCTTAAATTTAAACTGTATTTAATCTGAGGATAAGCTGCCTCCAACCCATTGCAATACCATTAGCCAGTCTATCCTGACCTTTAGTTAGATAAGATGGTTGGAGTCTGAGGATATCTCAGTGCTTGCCTAGAAGTTATAAACTGACATTGCAGAGAACAGAAGGTCTTGGCAGGTGCAGGAGTTACCATGATGATCACAGTATCTTAGCAACATTCCCTTAACTTTGGCTGTTCAGGATGTATGCAACAGATTTCCATTTCTGAAAAAGATTCACTCCTATTCCGAGAAGAAGTTCCTGACTTAGGGTGATCTTGTACTGAAATAGCCTAAATGGGAAGGGTCAAAGTTTAGAGCTTAGCTTCGTTTTGCTAAGTGACCTTTTCATTTTTCTCCAGGACTGGAGAGAGTACGTACAGAGCTTGTTTTTCTTTTCACTCTTCCTACAGCGAGGTAAGAGGATCTGTGTACTCATAACCCTTATTGCTGACTGTTCTGCAGCCTTCATGGTTCACAGTAGTACTCTTGACTTTCAGAGGCATCTTTTTCTATTTAAATCTCATTTCCTTGCTTTTTCTAAATGTAGCCTATCCTTATTATTCACGGATTCCATATTTCTGTGTTTCCTACTCACTGAAAGTAATCGGTAAAGCCAGTATGAATGTTTGCAGTGCTTTTGTGATCGTTTGTGGACACGGGGACAGTGGTGAAAAATTCGAGTCCCCGACACGCACGTTCCCAGCTCAGATCAAGCAAGGCCGTGCTCTGCCTTCATGTTTCAGCTCTCATACTCTCAACAGTGTCCTTTTTGGGTCTATTGAGTGGCATGTTTTTCATATTTTTGTGCTTTTTGTTGGTGATATCACTATTTTAAATGGTGCCCAAACTTAGTACTGAAGTTCTATCTAGCATTCCTAAGCGCAAGAAGGCTGCGACGTGCCTTACGGAGAAGATACGTTAGATAAGCTTTGTTCAGGCATGAGTCGTAGTGCTGTTGGCCATGAGTTCACTGTTCATGAATCAACAATATGTATTAAATGAGGTGTCTTTAAACAGAAACACACATAAAATGAGGTTATGTATTGATGGACTGAAAATGATATTCACCAGAGGCTCCCAGGAACCCTACCCTGTATTTCCCCTAGGAGCAATGGTTCGGTATTTGCCAATTTGGTTATTCGTGGTGACTTTATAGAACATACCTACTGTGGATAAAGAGAATCGACTGTATTAATATATCGTTTTAAGGGCATTTGATGACAGGGAGTCAACTTGTGCAAGTGAGAGAGGATGTTCCTCTATTGGGTATCTCTCTTCTCCCTGTGGCCACTTCATCCCTGAGAACAAGCAGTGAATCATTTCTAGTACAGGCTTGACCTAACTCTCTTTATCCACATTCCCTTCAGGAGTCTTAGATTTCTACCTTCCTCAACTTTAATTGATTGTGCAAACCAAGTAAGTAGTGGGCAGGCAAGTAATGGTTTCTCTTCGCATGCCTAATTTGAAGGTACATGAATTGCTTATGAAAAATAAATAACAGATCCTCCTGCCTTGCCCCATCTTAACTAAAGTAGCCATCTTATTTTTATAGAGTTAATGGTAATCCCTGGGTTCCTGCCTCTTTTGATTTGGTCTTTTCTTTGGAAAGTTGGAGACTAAGAATCATTTTATGCCCTAGTTTGTCTTTCTATTTGCAGAAGGGAATAAAAATCTTCGTGTTGTCATTGTCAACTTTGTAATGCATAATTTTATTGAATGTTTCACCATGTGCCAGGGACTGGGCTAAGCACTTTACGTGTGTTATCTCATTTATACTTTTAGATGAAGAATCTTAAGATGTAGAGATGTTAGGTAACTTGCCAAGATCTATCTAGTAAGTGACAAAGTTCGTCTGGGTTGTAGAGATGTTTTGAGGAATAGTGACAGTTCCTCTGTTTATCATTCTGAACTTTGCAGAAAATCAAGGTATTTGTGAAATTTTTGCATGTAATTGTGCTTGCTTAGAATTGTTGGGAAAGGCAGTCCCATGTGCACAGTCTTCCAACCTGCACTGGCCACAGAAGAATGGCCTTTGGCCTGGAGCACTTCTTACCAAGAGGTAAAGAACACACATAGCTTGAACCAGCTTATTGCCTTGTGTAGAAATATCTTCCTCTATTTTTTGGACTCAGTGTGTGTTCCTTTGTTCTGCTTAAGACTGTGTGTCAATGGCCCTCAGGCACACCCCTGCTTTCCTTATTGCAGACACTATGGGGGAGGAGGAGGAGGAGGAGTCCTTCCCTTGTGGCAGGGGAGGGGTGCTGTAGGCAGATTGCCCACGCTGGCTATGGGGGACTGACGGACACTTGGAGCTGACCTTGCTCTCTCTATTCTCTGTAAGTAAAGCACTGTTCCATCCAGTGCTTGATGTCAGTGCTTTCCTTAGTGACTCCAACACCACGATGCCACGGGCAGAAGTGTTTGGATTCCTTCCCCAGGATTGGTAACCAGTGCATAGTGTGTTCTGCTCTATGAGAATAAACTGTTAGAACAAATTAAGTGAACTCGAAGATGTAATTCTCTTGGTATTGCTAATTATCTGTAGGCGGAAAGACATGCCTTTTTTTTTTTTTTTTTTTAAGAGAAAAGGTCTCACTGTGTTGCCCAGGCTGGCCTCAAACTCGGGGGTTCAAGTGATCCTCCCACCTCGACCTCCCAAAGCGCTAAGATTACAGATGCGCACCACTGCGCCTGGCTAAGAAATGCAATTCTAAGACTTTTTCTTGTGTGTATTACAGTTAATACTCAGCTAAATTCTAACTCACTTCAAAGGGGATTTGTTAAATATGGGCTACTGACCTTCTTGGACAAGGAAACTATCATGTTAAAAAAATAAAGAATCTTTGAACCTCATTTAATCAGTGATTCTCAGCTCTTGCTGTGGAGCAGTGTCACCTGGCGACATTCAAATGTACTGATTCCCAGGCCTGCATTTGCTCAGTGTTCAAAGGATCTGTGGGAATGAGGCCTGGGCATCGGCTGTTTGTCTTTCCCAAGAGGCCCTCAGGTGACTCCCACATGCAGCCAGTGTTGAGAACCACAGCCATGAGATTTCTGCTTCTCTTACACCTGGTATCCCTTTATCTCCTCTCACAACCTAGTTTTTCATCATAGAGATAAAACAATTGATCCATTTTCTCTTCTTTCTTCTAGATTAAAGATTTCTTGAGCTACATCTGTCCTGTGAACGCATATCCAAATGTCATTCCAGTAGGCATGACTGTGGATAAAGTGATAGAAATGTGAGTACTGTTTGTGGAATTTAGTGCCTCCCTTTGTGGCTTGTAGCTGGGTAACAAAGGATAGTTTTGCCTGAATGTTTACACATTTAGAACGTTGTGACGTTTCTCACCTTGTATTCATTTGCGCTTTTTCCTGGAGTGTTTACTGCAGTGTGGCAGAAGGTACAGGTGATGTCATCAGTTTGTCTTGGATGGCACCCCATCATACTAGCAGTGTGATCTTGATCAGATCACTCTTCTGAGCCAGTCATTTCAAATCAGAAAAACAATATTTCCGCCTCCTTGTTGGGTTTCTTAGAGGTTTGGAGATAATATATGAAATGCACCTAGCACAGTGCCAAGTAGGTGGTCAGTTAAAGGTTATCTATTGAATGGATAAATGGAAGTCAAAGGAGAGGTGAAACAGTATAATGGATATGTTTTACTACAGTATTCCCGTGTTTCCACCTCTTCTTGGAGTTTCACTTGTGCATTCATTAAAGCTTTCTTTAGAGCCAGCTATATGGTAGGGAGCCAGGCTGACTAAGGTACACCCTGCCCTAGCAGAGCTCCAGCCTCGTGGGGAGGCCAGGTGCACAGGAAGGCTCAGTATCCACTGCACACAAGCTGCTGTGGGTGCAGGAAGGAACCAGGCCTGGTGTCAGGGAATCTACCCCAGAGACCCCGATGAGGACATACAGGTAGCAAAAGTTTACGGAGAAGAGGATTCAGGAGCTCCGGACAGAGGTCTGGGTGGGAGACACAGATTTGGAGTTGGCAGTGCAGTGACAACTGAAGCCATGAGGACACAGGAAATCACCAGGAGGGCATGAGGAAGGATCACAAAGCTGTGGCCAGAACCCTGGGCAGCACGTCTGAGGGGAGGGGTGGGGGAGGCAGCGCTGTGACAAGATGGAGACAGGGTGGCCCAGAGTGGGACAAGAGCCAGGGAAAGGGAGTAGCGGGTATCAATGTGAGACTCTTGAGAAGGCAAACAATATAGGGACGACAATATATGTTACATGTGTGAGCTCAGTGAGAAATATGGTAGACTTTTGAGTTAGAAGCCATATTTCAGGTATTTGAGAAATGGGTAAAAAGTGAAGAAATGGATAGAACATTCTTCTAAAAAGCCTGACAGTGAAGGGAAAGTTATGGACAAGATGGTAAGTGGAGGCAGCAAAATTTAGAGGCTTGATCTTAAAATAGCTGAGACTTCAGTATGCCTTACGGAGCTAAACTTGAACATACATAAACTTGAACGTGCTCAGGCGTCACTTGGGGTACTTATTAAAAATGCATACTCCCCTGTCTCGCATTTCTGTCAGGGGATTCTTTCGTAGGTAGGTGAAGGATAGCCTCACTTTCAAAAGTTATCCAAGAATAGCTGAAATGACTGCAGAGAGAGGCAGTGACAAGAGCAGAGGTCCTTGGCCTGGGCGGGGAGGCTGGCCAGGGGGATGATCCAGAAAACACCGGTGGACCCGAGGACAGGGGTGCAATGTACAATGGGGGTGGTGGTCCATGTTTCAGGCTGGGAGCTTAAAGGCTCTGTTCAAGTGTGTTGTGTTAACAGATCATCCCAACGGCTTCTGGGAATCTGGCAGAAGGAGGCAGTTAACAATGAGGCCCTCAAAAAAAGAGTACAACACCTTCAAATCTTATTTCTATCCCTTTTTCTATTTTATCTCTGCCGTGTCTTAGCCTTCAGCCTAAGGATCCTGAACAAAGAGATCATCACATCTGTGAGATTCTTGCAAGACTTAAGTAAATCCCATTAAACTGGGAAGGGGAAACAACGAGCTACGCTGTATTCCCCGGATGCTAGAAGATGTCACCGTGTTACTAGGTTTTTAGGATAGGGACCTGCTTTTTAGTACTGTAAAAGCAAAGATGGAAGTTTTGCTCTAGTTTACTGAAGGTGTTTCCCTCCACCCTAGCAATTAGCTAGACATCTACCAGGCTGTATTCAAGTGCTTATAGTCACCACTTTAGTATACTGAAGTGACTTTTAATGATTAAACATTGCTTTTTCAGTTGTACAAAGTAGTTGTGTGATTTCCGCTATGGTCATGGTTTTGTAATCCCTATCAATGATGCTTACCTCCCAGCAGCTTTCCCAGAAGGAAAAATCAAATATTCTGATTCGTTTCAGCTTAAAGCCTTTATGCCGATCTTCCCAAAGTACTGAGCCAAAGTACAAACCACTGGGAAAACTGAAGAAAGCCAGAACACTTGACCGAGACTCAGGTAAGAACGGTCCTGGGTTCAGGGGTTTGGGCTTCCGGCAACGACTGCTTTCCAGCATGCTCTGGTCTGGTAAAAGTGGCCTTGGGCAGAGTGGACCTGGGTCCCACATAGCTCAGACTTGTCCCATGGTCTCGGGACATGCTTTCCTTTCTGTCTTCAGCCTGTAAAACCGGAGTTGGCTATCCTGCACAGGTTTAAAACAAGTGGTAAAATGTGTGTATTGTGTGGTGGTCTCAGCTTTCTGGAGCATGCCCTAAGACTTGCATAGCCCATAAAGAGAGGCTACGTGGTTAGCCTCGAGCACTTCCTTAGGACACTAGTAAATGCTGGTAAGAGACTTTTCTAGTCTTCATTTCTGATCACATTGATCAGTAGTGTTTGTACAAATGGATTTTCTCTATGCTTTTCTATCTTCGTTTATTGCTACTTTTGTTTTTCAGTGAAGGACAGAGGTAAGCCCTCAAATAGAAATCAGAACTTTAGATTCTGGGCAAAGCGCTGCAGCTTTACTGCAGCCAGCTTTAGTGGCTAGGATTCTTGATTTCCATTCCTTTGGAGGAGAGCCAGTTACTGTGCCGTACACTGAATACGTGGCCAAAACACACTAGATAATAAGGAGACTATTTATTCAACACCTGCTATATGGCAGGTATTGTGCTAGGTCCTTTACACATGTTAAAGCTAAACCTCTAGACAAATTTACGAGGGGGTACCATCCCAATTTTACCCATGAGGAAACTGAAGTTTAGAGAGTTAAGGAAACCCCCCAGGGTCTAGCAGGAAGTAAGTGATGGGCTGAGATTCTAATCTATGTCTGTCTCTCCCACTCTCTGCTTCTGCATTTCTGGTTAGAATATAATTTGAAAACATTTAGATGCCAATTCCAGGACTGATTCAGACACTAGTAATAGGCTTACTGTAAGAAAACACCTTTGTTTTTGTTTCACTAATTAAAAGATTCTAGAAAAGTTCCATTAATTTCAAATGTTAACTCCATCCTGTAATACATTTTCTTATCTTTACAAATTTAGTTTTAAAAACAGCTTTACTAGGTATAATTGATAGATTACACATTGCACATGGTTAAGGTATATGATTTGATACATTTTTACATATGCATATATTTGAGAAACCATGACTCTAATTAAGATATTGAAAATATCCATCACCCTCAAGTTTCCTTATGCCACTTTGTAATTCCTCCCTGCCTTCACCCCTGCCATGGCAACCACTGATCTGCCTTCTGTCACTATGGATTAGTTTGCATTTTTTAGAATTTTGTATATGCGTGGCTTATTTCACTCAGCACACTGGAGATTCATTCATGTTGTTGCATGTACCAATAATTCATTGTTTTTTTATTCATGAGTAGTTGTCCACTGCACGGAGATACTAAAATTTGCTGATCCATTCACCTATTGATGTACGTTACGTCACGCATAATTTGGGATTCCTAAAAATATTCTTTATTGTCTTCAGGTATGGGGCTGAAAAAATTTTTTAAAGTAATAATAAAAAATATCCTTGAGCTTTGTTTTGGCATGTGATTAACATGTTTGTAGTTTGATCCTTTTGTGTCTTTTTATCTTTGTTAGGCAGGACCAGAGCAGCATTTAGTCTATGGTTCACTTTCCCTGCTACCGAGGCAAGGCCCTTCTTGTTTCTCTTACAAATGCCCATGGATTATAAGGTTTTCACTCTGGCTGCTGGGAACAGGCACCATTCCTGGCACTGTGTGAGTTCTGAGCGCTGTTTCCTTTCGCTCTTTTGAGCGATCCTTTCCCTGGGTCCAGGTAGTGTCCTCACAAGCGTGTGCTGCTCGGATGCTGCACACTTAGGGGCCCTCCTGCAGCTCTTCGGAGTCCTCTCCTTGCCGCGCTCTCCCCTCTGGCCCTCTGCTCTGCAAACTCCAGCCACCCCGACCTCCTCAGACTCCCAGTTCCATCTCAAGGCAGGGACGTCCCCTCCCTGACTGGAATCTGTCACCAGTGAGCTGGACAATCACGGGCCTAGTCTGTTTCCCAATTCTCACGTTGTTGTCCTTCGTTGCCTGGCATCCAGTTTCTTGAGAGCCACTGTTTATCAGAGTTTGGTTTTTAGTTGTTTCAGGTGGGAGGTTAAATCTAGTTCCTGTTACTCCATCTTACCTGAAAGCAGAAGTCTTATCTTTCTTTAAACTTTGGTACCTATTATGCATCTACCCGACCCACACTTATTTTTGCTGAAATGTCTTTTTGAATCAGGCCATGGGTTTAAGTTTTTTTGAATTGATGCTCATTTCCATTTTTTTTCTTAGCTTTGATTTTGTTCCTTTTTGATTCCTTAGGCTTTTTATTCCTTACTAGTATGTGTATTATAGCAATAATTTTTGTAGCTTTTCTTATACAGGCATAGATCTTTAAACAGCCCTTCAACATGACTGTCTTTTTAGATGTATTTTGTAAGCAACAGGTGTCATCATAATAGTTTATGGTATGTCATTTTATGGTATGTCCAGGTATGTCATTGACTTTACAATTAGTATTCTGTTCTGTGAGTATGCTTTGAAATCTCTGGTGTTCTCTACAAACTTGTTGGCCAGTCTTTCAAGTCCTTTAGTTCTTAGAATGTTCTGTTGATCCAAGTCAGTGCTAATGTACTAGGGTTAAATCAGCTGCTTTAAGGTTTGTGTTCTTGTCTCAGCATCTGGGAGGCAAATACAGAAGTTGTTCTTCTTAGCCTCTTTTAAGAAGCTTTTTGTACTCTAATGTTTTATCTTTACATAATTAAATAGTTTACTACTATTATAATTATCCTTAGAGACCACTTTTATAAAATTACTGTTTTTGTTCCTCTTACAATAATATATTCTCACGGTAGATAATTGAGAAAATAGAAAGTTATGTAGAACCACACAAGTCTAAATTATTTTGATTAGCATTTTAATGTATTTCCTTTTTTTCTATTCGTTTATATAAATATTCACAAAACTTGGAGGAATGATATTGAAAATGTTTAAAAAGCAACATTATATAGGCACCAGTCAACAAGAACAATAGTAACTGTAGTGCTAGAGCAACGTCCTAAAGTTCTGTAGTGCAAAGCTCTTTGGGTCGGACTGCGGAGAGGTGAACTGGAATCCTTAGGGTCGGGCCCAGGGTGGTGGGAGACAGGAAGGACACTTGGCACCAGGGCAAAAGTATTTCAGTAACATAACAGCTGTAAGACTCCATAGGTGCATACAGGCTGAAAAGCAGCTTAGATCATTTTTATATATACACACACATATACACATATGTATGTGTATTTTTTTCACCTCATTTTATTGGAGAATTTTTCTTGTGTTATTCAAAAATGTCAATTTAATGGTTGCATATTTTTCATGACTATATAATGGTACATTTAATCTTTGTCATACATTTAGGTTATTTAGAACTTTTCAGTTTTATAAATAATGTGATGAACGTTATACATAAGTCTCTTTCACATCTCTTGTTGTTGGGCTATACTGTAGAAGTTAAGGTGCTTCATACATATTGCCAAATTGCTTTTCAGTATGATTTTTATAAACAATGCGTGATGGTAGAAAGTATCTATGAATTACTTATAACATTTGTCCTTTTTTTCATTGAGTTTAGGTGTTTTTTTATTATCAGTTTGTGTAAACTCCCAAGGATTTCGACACTTCTATATTGTGAAATTTTTTCAGTATTATATGCTGTTCCATTTTCATAAAGGTTTAAAATTCTACGTGTTCATAACAAAAAGTACATAATGTTAGAGTAAATTTCTAAGAGTATAGAGACTTTACTTGTTTTTCCAGTACACGAGATGACTGAAAATGTTTTGACGGAAGGATTGTACAGTTGAAACGTACCATGACGTTGTTATGGTATAGTCATTGTCTCATTTAGAGATAATTTGGGCATACCAGTGGAGGAGCTAGAACAAACATAATCCGTGGCCTAAGCCATAGCCTGGATACTAGGATGATTGCAAATACAGTAGCTAGACATTTCAGTCACCGTAAGCCCTTTAAGAATGAAGGGCAGGACCAATTACAAACCATAATAGAACACTGGACTTTAAGAACGAGGTTGGGTCTATGCACCAGCATATTGCTTCTCTGGCCTATCTCCTCACCAATTAAGTGGGAGCTAGATGATGGTATCTATGGTCTGTTACTTTAGTGGCTTTTAAAAAAAATGTAGTGTTCAGCCACATCCTTCATCTCTGGGAAAGAAGTAGGTTAACACCAGATTTAGCAAGAGAACAGTAAGTTGCCATACCTAGCAGTCTCATGAGCATTTAATTTCCTTCCTTAGGTTAGGTGCCATTAGCAGGCAGGAAAATACTTGCTTTCCCCCCAATTCCATGCCTTCACATTTTTCTTTGTGGGAATTTTATTCTCCAAGTAAGGATTTCTTCATTTTAAGAATTTAAGTGGACTGGGCTTACTGTTTATTGATAGAGCATGAACATGCTTAAAAATCAGAAAATGAATTTTGTTGACTTTTAGTTCTTGACACTGAATGTGGCTTACTCAGCATCTTGGTTAAAGTTGACTTAACCTGTACATGTTCCCTGGAATCTATCACAGCCTTGTGCACAAAGTAGATGTCAATAAAATGTTCATAGAAGGAAAACCTTAGAGAAAAAAATCAACTGTCTTTTTATTAAATCAGTCAACCCACTGGGCATCTACTATTTGCAGAGCACACAGGGTTTGCAAACCTGGCTGATGAACAGAATCAGCTGCAGAACTTAAAACAACAATCAAATCATTCACCCCTACTTTCTTCAGGGATTCAGTAGGTCTGGAATGAGATATAGAAAGCTGTAATGATCAGCCAGGTTTGAGAATGACTGATCTCTATCCTTAACTGAGAGTCTGGCATTATCAAAAGTTGAAGGATGATAGTTAAATTATTCAGAATATCCCAAGAATTAATTACTCTTTGAAGAAGAATGACCTCTATATTCTTTGCAATTCTAAGAATTAAAAGTGTAGGTAAATGCTACAAATTGGATTTTTATGGAAAGCACAAAATGGCTCCCTTTGCCTTGTTTCCTATAAAATTGTTTTGTTTGTTCCACAGAGGAAGATGGTGATGATCTCTTTGATGACCCTCTGCCAGTACCTTTAAGGCACAAGGTTCCAAACCAGCAAACTGTTCACCCTGAGGTATTTTCAATGACTGCAGTATCAGAAAACCAGCCTGGAAAACTGAGACAAAGCACAGGGTGCTACAAAGCAGAGAGTATGCAAAGCTCTCTTTTGGCAAACTTTGTAGATTGTGAAGAATCTAACAGTGAAAGTGAAGAAGAATTAGAAATCCCAGCTTTCCCAAAAGAAGCTCTGAGCCCTGTAACACTTCACCAGCAAAAGACTGATGGGGATGTACCACAGTGGGAAGTATTCTTTAAAAGAACTGATGAAGTCACAGATGAGAGTTTGGAAAACTGCCCTTCCTCGGCAGGGGGATCTCAGTCACCAAAGCTTTTCAGTGACTCTGATGGAGAATCAACCCACATCTCCTCCCAGAATTCTTCTCAGTCAACACACATAACAGAACAGGGAAGTCAAGGCTGGGACAGCCAATCTGATACTGTTTTGTTATCCTCACAAGAGAAAAATGGTGGGGATGTTACCTCCTTGAACAAAGTTGGGTGTAGACCAAGAATCAAAGAGACTATTCCTGCCTCTCACATGGAACAAAATGTACTTTGCCCAAAGGATACTCACTCTGATTTGAAAAGCAGAGATCAAGATGTAACTGTAGTTCCTACTGTTGGAGAACCAACTACTCTAACTGGTAGGGAACATACACCTGAGGCAAAAAGTCTGCTAAATCTTAGCACAAATGCAGATTCACAGAACTCCTCTGATTTTGAAATTCCTCCAACTCCAGAAGCTGAGCCACCTAAACGAGAGCATTTACAATATTTATATGAGAAGTTGGCAACAGGTGAGAGTATAGTAGTAGAAAAGAGAAAATGCTCACTGTTGGATATTTAAGAATTAAAAAACACTTCATCCTAGAGCAACCACTAAAAAAAAAAAAAAACCTCTGCAAAGAGATAATAATAGTCAATATCACAATAGATAAATTAAAATGGCATACTTTAAAATGTTCAAATAACCTAAAAGGCAGCAGTGAAGGGGAAACAGAGGGACAAAAATCAGGGAAAAAACGGAAAGCAAATAAGATAGAACTAAATCCAAACATATCAACAATTACATCAAATGTAAATGGTCTAGCTACCTCAGTGCAGAGACACTCAGGGCTGAGTGTGTGGCTCACACCTGTAATCCCAGCATTTTGGGAGGTGGGAGGATCACTTGAGCCCAGGCCCCAGTGAACTATGATACTGCCACTGCACTCCAGGCTAGGGTGACAGAGTGAGACCCTGTCTCAAAAAAGGGGAAAACAAAAAAGCCAACAAACCCCAACTATATGATGTCTACAAGAAACTCAATTCAAATGATAGAGGTAGGTGAAAGGATGAAAAGACAACCATGTAAACACTTAAATGAAAGGTAGAGTGGCTATATTAGTAACAATCAATTTCCTAATGATGAGAGGTCCAGTTCACCAGAAGACATAAGAATCCTAAATGTGTATGCACCTGACAATAGCTTCACTGGAGCAAAAACTGAAAGGAGAAAGACAAACTGATGCACAATGATAGTTAGGGGCTTTAACATCCCTATCGTAGTAACAGAAATAGTATATACACAGCAAATCAGAATGTCACCATTAGCCATCCAGACTGAGTTGACATTTATATAACACTCCACCCCAAAACAGCAGATACATCTCTTCAAGTGTACATGGAACATTCACCAAGATTGACCATATCTGGGGCCATAAAAATGCTTTAAATTGAAAGAATAAACTGATGGCTATAGAAAAAATAGGCACCTTATTTCCAAAGATGGTACATCACTTAAGAACCTTGATGTGAATACAGTGGTAAAATTAAAACTAGACATGTGGGACGTAAAAGAAAATGCTTTAGAATTAAATGGCTAAAAGTATGTGTGTGTTCTTTGTCATTCACCTTCCTCAAAGTCCATCAATAGGTTATGCTTTTGTTACGTATGTGGATTTAATAAAGTTTTAACTATATTCATACATGCTTTGGAATGCTGACATTTCATAGATTAAGGAAGCAGAAATCACTTAAAACAAGTTTAAACAGTCTCTAAAACACAATTTGAAGATTAAACTAAATGATACGCATTATCACCATGCTACATGGTAATTCGAACAAATCGTAGTATTGGACCCACTAGACTAATTAGGGTAATAGGACTCAGTATATATGTAACTGTACATATTCACTGATAGTTAAGACTTAGTTTCACCATCGTACCTTACGATCCAAGGTGGCTGTACAAAAAATGCCTGTAAACATTCTTCTGAATATATTCCTAGCATTTTATAATCATACCATCAATTTAATATTACACACTGCCACATTGTCATTGTTCTGTGTGCGAGTCTGGCATCATAAATGCTGGCTGAATGAACTTAAGGGCTAACAGTACCAGAACAGATTCTGATCAACAAGCTTGTAGTGATCACCAGAAATTTTAAAGCAAAAGTTTAGAGTACACAGTTACGATAGCTAATACTCATATGGTGTTTCCTCTAATAATGCTCTTAAGTTTTTCACACATCGTATATTACCTCCGCTGATCCTCACAGCCATCCTTTGAGGTAGATACACTGCTTATCCCCATGTACAAATGAGGCGGCTAAGGCACAGTAAGGGGCAAAGCGAGGATTCAAACACAGGAAATTTGGCTTCAGAGTCCATACTCTTAACCGCTATGCTACGATGCCTCTCAAAAAGAGCATTAAAAAACGGCCAGGATTAATTGTAGTGGCTACTTGAGTTTTACTTCAAGAACTATAAATTATAGGCCAGGTGCCATAGCGCAGACCTGTAATCCCTACACTTTGGGAGGCTGAGGCAGGAGGATTGCTTGAGGCCAGGAGTTCAAGACCCTGTCTCTACAAAAAAATATAAGAAAAATTAGCCAGACCTGGTGGCACGCACCTGTAGTTCCCAGCTACTCGGGACGGTGAGGCAGGAGGATTGCTTGAGCCCAGGAGTTTCAGGCTGCAGTGAGCTACGATCATGTTACTGTGCTCCAGCCTGGGTGATGGAGCAAGACCCTGTCTCAAAAAACAAAAACAAAACACCCTATAAATTATAAAAGGAAATGTGAAGAAAAACAGTTTCCAAATGCCAAGATGTATCACAGAAGAAACCCACTAGTTAGCCACATTTGCCTTAGAGAGGAGTCCTAGGACTCAAATGTTTACATAGTAGAAATTGATTTTTTAAAGTTTGCCTGAAGTTGAAAATTATATATTTTTAAAACATGGTTTATGGCCTATTAGCTGGGTGATCTTGGGCATGTAAATGTTACCTAACTAGTCTAAGCCTGTTACCTTAGGTGTAATATAGGGACGACAGCACCAACCTCATAGATTGATGAGAAGTACGTGAATGTATATAAAGGGCTTGCTCAACGAATATTAGCTCTGAATTCAAAAATCCCTTTGCATTTCCAGGCAGTATTTAGCACAAGATGTTTAAGTACCTGAGGACCAGTAATGCTCAAAAAACTTCAGAAGTATCCATCCACAGTACGCTAACTAAATGTACATTTGTACTTTATATTCAAATTCATGAACCATGATGATAAGCTTTCTTAAAAGGAAAGTAATATTTAAAAGAATTGTATATAAACTTCTGGTTAATCTTGTAAGTAATCAGGAGTGTATCAGTACTTTTTTGCCCTTTTGGTAGACTTACTGGAAATGACTGTAAAGTAGTCAAACAGAGCTAAGCCATGGTAAATAGAACATCAAATGATAAACTAAATTTATTTTGCTAAGGAGAAACTGTTGAACTAAAACAGAAATAAGTGCAGTCTAGACTTCAGATACATGGGAAAAAACCCTGAGAGTAACTAATTGTATATCACAATCCTCTTATGTAGATACTGGAAAATGTTAGTAGCAACACAACTTGAACAGTGGGTTTACATTTTAAACTTGATCTATTACCTTTAAATATTTGCTTTGTATCGAGAGAACAAATTCTGACATCTTCAGGAAACTAATTTGAATAAGCCAAATGTTGACTTACCATAGTTAGAGCCCTTAATAACGTCATTTAAATAATTTCTATTTTACTGCTGGAGTTCAGCTTTTCTTTTTTTAGGAAAGATATTCAGCTTCACCAAAGTTCAGATTTTTAATAATGAAGGTAACATAAGTACTTAAGGTCCCAAAAGCCCATTAAATTTCTATTAATAAGGACAAAACTACAAGTTTACTGAAAATAGTCTTTTTCCCTTTGCCCTCCAGTTTTACATTATTTTTAACACAAAAAGTCAACAAGATCAAATAACTAGACAGTAAAACACTGACTTTAAAAAATTACATCTTTAAACCCACAAGAATCATAGTTCAAAGCAAGCCTGGCCACTGGGGCAATACATAAACCTGTGACCCTTTCTCACCACTGACACGCTGAGACTAATTTTTCATAAAGAAAACACAAGAAATGCCATTTAAAAAGTGTATTTTTCCTTAATACATTCTGCAAATTTTGGTTAGCAGATATACTGTAAGGCTCCAGACATGTAAACAATTTATCCTATATTATGAAAGAGCAAAGTCATGTGATGGCAAGATAATGAATAATAAAGGATAGCTTCTCCCAAAAAAGAGGCTAAGGATTAAGAAGATTTGAAGTGCCACATTCTTGAAGTCAGTTCAACTTTTACCTCAGCTTATTTTAGGCCATTAAAGCCTAGAGCAGTGAGCTTAGGTAGAACTTAATTAGGAATACTGAAAGCTAGATTTACGTGCTGCGTTTCCCTTCACATCACTGGACACCATGATTAGAAATCCTAGAATTAGAAACAGATGGAAATGGTTTTTCCTGATTGAGGTTTTATACCATGCCAGGGGAAAAGAACCCAAAAAACAAAAAAACACAACCCAAAAAACTAATATATTCGGTCTTCATAGGTCAACTAATAAAAGGTCTCATAATTCAGGCACACGCTTTGGCCAAGTTTAGCTTTATCACATTTAAAAAATTCATGTATAAAACAAGTATCAATTCCAAATATAGATTAATTTTTAAGAAAAGCCTTCAGGAAATACAAAAATAATTTGGTGGAAAAGAAATGTTAAAACTGCCTGAAATTGAAAAGATGTAGTTACTGCACATTACATTATCATCGGGTACAGCTGCTCTCCCCAGGTATCTTGTTTTACCGTTTAGACCACAGGTACTCAACACGGATCTCCTAATTCACGGTACTAAGAAGTGCCCTTAAAATGCTCCATTTCCTTTGCCTGGTCCTCCCCAAAACCCTCCTGGTCCCACTGTCCTGCCCTTTCAAAGCAGCATAATGGCCAGCCATCCCAGACTTTTAGGAGACTTTTCTTCTATAGGATTAAAAAATCTTTAAGGATTACAAGTTCAGCCATACACCCCTCAAAATGGTCTAAATTGCTTCAGAATATGAAATCAAGCTGAAATTTTTTTACATTGAATTTTAAACCTTAAATTTCTGTATCATTAAGATGCCCATGTTTTAATGAAAAAGTAGAAAACAGAGTATAAAATTCAGTATCACCTATTTGTCTCAAATACAAGCACAGTGAGTATTAAACAGGAATGACAATGTAATAACAAAAACAGAACTTGCACGTTTGCCCAAACTGAATTAACTCTATTTCTCCGAATTTGGGGTGTATGTATGGCAAGTCGAATTTCTGATCTCAGCAACGGTTACATTATCAGTTTAACACTTTTCAAATACCGAAGAAGGCATTTTTCTATTCACATGGACTTCTTACGTATGCATATGCTGACCCGTAAATAGTTTGCCTTCCATGTTTGGTCTCTAAGCACTACATACACAGACTTCAAGTCAGTCTATGTGGCCCAGTGGCACTCTCTTTAGAAGCATCAGTAATACATTTGGCAAATGTGTTGAAATATGAATTATAAATTAACAAAGGTATAATCTTGCTGATATGAAAAAAAGAGTCCCAAATATTCATTTTTTAAAAATGTTAACATCAGAAAAACTACAATTCTCATCAGCTCTATTTCCTGAAAATTCAGTTGAGGTAACCTCTGCAAGTCACAGCTCCACATTTACATACAGTTCTGACCCTCTTTTTGGCTGGGCTGTGGTCAATAGAATCTGAAGATATATCTCCAGAACCTGAATACACAGAAAAAGAAATAAAGGAGAAAGAGAGTTAAGACAATTTAGAATGAATTTCTAAATCTCTATTAAAGTAGCTAGCAAGGGTACTTACGTATTCAAGACTGTTAGAGTAAGTTAACTCCCAAAGAGATATAGGTTCCCTTGTATTTATAAATTAATGTGAATATCAGACACAAATCATGATGGATTATCCTGAAAGGATGCTATGGGCTAATAATAGGTAAAATTTATATTTATTAGCCTATATTTGTGAATATGGATTTCTGAAATGATGACACTTACTGGAAAAAATCCAATCATTTCATGCATTATATAAGAGCACATAAAGTGAGATCAAGTAATAATAATATGTAATGGGCATCATTCTCAGAAAAACAAAAGAAAGAAAACATCTATAATTGTGACAATAAAGCAAATAGAATTAGATGTTCTTTTCAAAAGCCAGATTAAAGTAGGAATGGAATTCATGTGATTTAAATTATATTTTCAATCTTTTTCACATATATCTCTTAGTAAATATTCAGAAATGTAAGCTTAGTTTTTTTAATACAAGCAGTATAGTATTGAGAAAAGATGTTATAATAAATCAGCTTCCAAAGTGGAAGTTCTGAAAAAAGTCAGGAGGCACTGTGATGTAGACAAAAGACCATTCCTCAGCCTAAGGCCAGGCAGACCTGGGTTCCAGCATTAGCTGTCAGATTAGCTCTGGATCTTAAGTAAGATGACGAACTTAGAGTCTTGATTTTTTCCATCTTTAATACTAGTTTGGTTCAGATGATCTAAGGTCTTTTCCTATCTTATTTGATTCTTCCTATTGAAACTAACACCAATGAAACTGTACTTGAAAACCATACCTTTCATTTGATAATCAAAAGTCAGCTCTTCTCCAGCATTTATGGTTCTCGTGGAAAACAATGCTATTCGGGGAAGACGAGTATCGAGGTTATCAATGAAAACATTGAACACCTGAAGATTTGGGTCACACTAAAAAGGAACATTAGAACCCATTTAAGTAAAAAAATGATGTGAATGAGCTCTTCTACCTGCCATATAAAATTTTTACTTTCCCAGAGTATTAGTTTTTTAAGTTCCACTGGAAAATAAATTGGTTATTGTTTAGAGGTTTTTGAGGCATGCACATTTTTTTACCTATAAAAAATTTTAGGCCAGGCTCAGTGGCTCACGCCTGTAATCCTAGCACTCTGGGAGGCCAAGGCGGGAGGATGGCTTGAGATCAGGAGTTCGAAACCAGCCTGAGCAAGAGGAACACCCTGTCTCTATTAAAAATAGAAAAATTAGCTGGGCGTGGTGGTGCGTGCCTGTAGTCCCAGCTACTCAGGAGACTGAGGCAGAAGGATAGCTTGAGCCCAGAAGTTCAAGGTTGCTGTGAGCTAGGCTGCCATGGCACTGTAGCCCATGTGACAGAGAGAGACTCTGTCTCAAAAAAAAAAAAAAAAAAAATTTACACATACATAAAAGTAGAGAAAATGACATAATAAATTCATATGTATCCACTAAGCAGCTTCAAGTTTGCCAATCTTCACTCAACTTTTTTTTTCCTTGAGAATTTTAATGTAAATCCCACGTAACATTATCATTTCACCTCTGTTTCAGTAGGTCATATAAAGAACTAGAATAACTATATTTAAAAAGTCAAATCAGTACTGTAGAACTCAAATTTCATACTGCATAGAGTTCCATCACCTTAACTTTGTTCAGTATTTTGAGAACACTACACTAACTTATGGAATATGTAAGAAGAGAGATCTAGTGAATCACACTAAGAAATCGAAATAAGGGTTTAATTGTCCTTGGATGGAATATATCTGTTTTGAGACTATCTCAAATTTATCATTAAGAAATAAATTCCTTAAGGTAAAATTTTAAGTAAATCAGAAAATTCACAAGGGAGTCAGGACATCTCTGTCATTTTACTGCCAATCGTACAGTAATTTCTTGGTTTGAAATCCATCAGAAGTTTAACATGGTCTACACCTCCTCACATGGTCATCTAAATAACTCTCTGAAACACATTTTCCTTGTTATCCATAAAATCTCTATTAAATGGAGATAATGTCAACCTTGCAAGCCTAATGGTATATTATCTACACCTGGTACTCAGTAAGTACTCTCACCCCCAAAATTATTAACTTCCTTATTTTTGGAAATAATTTTTATACAGTCTAAGATTTTGGAGTTAAGTCCAGCCATATTCTAAGTTCTTTCAAACACTAATTAAAAATTAAGGAGGACTACTAATTTACAATGTAGAAAAATAGCCCCAAATACTTCAATAATCTACAAGTCTTTGAATTTTATAAAAAATGGTAACATGTTAAGAAAATACATTTATCTTTAGTTGTACATCCTCAAATTTAGTTGTGTTAACCTCTGTAAGACACCTATGTAGTTGTGTGTAGATTCTTAAACATATTACCTCTTAACTCCTCTGCTAATCAATTTCCTCCTCTGATATGAAGATAATACCTGTCTTATAAAGTTACTGGAAAGTTTAAATGTAATAACATATGTAAAGACTCTTACAAAATGCATGGTACTGGGTAGGTACCTCAGTGTTTATTTTCCTAATACGGCAATAATACCATGACTTAACAGAAGGGGCCCTCATATTAAAATACGTACTTTGGAAATGTTAAAAGCGTATGTAGCTTAAAGCTGATTATTTTTCAAACTATGGAAAAATCATTAAAAATAGTACTACGTTGAATTATTAGTCTTGTGTACAGTTTAAGTATTTCTTCTTACACTGTGATTCACAAAATGAGACACATTTCCATATCGAGCTGCATCCACTGTGAATTCGTCAGATTCATAGTCCAGATCAAAGAGATATGTGATTCCCTTGTTGTCATATAACTGTCCCCGTCTTTCGGCTTCTTCACTTGTGATTACCTAAACAGAAAAATCTACAGTATATTATGTAGCTATTGCTGAATTGAAGAAACCTTCATCCATAAATTTATTAATATATTAATGCCTACAAGGGTTTAAAAAGCGAGAGATTCAAGTTGTCTTCAAAACAAACATTCACATAAAGAACCAGATGGAAAGAAGTAGGAAAACAAGACGAGGAAAAATGATGACGCAAAAGATTTATGACTTTTTAAGTAGGATTTGAGACAATGCACAAGTTGAAACATTGCACTACTTTCATTATAATTAGTATGTTCGAAAAGCTATACAACTAGAGCTCTCTATAGGGCGCAACTGAATGTTAAGGACTACATTTGCAAGTATATATCCTCGAAAAGCATATTTTCCCTATAACTAACCTATGTGCTGTTACAAATGGAAATTTGTTAATACAGGGGAGAAGATATGTTAAATCTGCAGTCAACCATGTGGAAAGTTTTGTTTTGTTTTGTGGAACAGGCTGTTTTCATGAAATTCTGTAAATTCAAAACCATCGTCTACAGTTCTGCTCTTAAGAACACAGCTTTATCACATGCTCAGCTTAAGAAACCAAAAATATCTAAAGTGATTCATGTCACCAATTGGACTTGACTGCTGAACCCATTAATAAGTAAAAAAAATAATTTGATTAACCAAAAACATTGATTGTACAAGATCTAGAATCCTGAAGTGATTTATAATAATCTGCCATTGTCTAAAAGTATAAGGATCAAAAGAGGGATCTCATTTAATTTCAGAATTCTAGATGATTACATATAATTGTAGGTGATCCAATTTCAACTAATTTAAAGAAAAAACAAAAACAATCAGATTTGACAACCCCAGACATGCAGCCACATTCACGTCTCTCTAGTCACAGCTGAACCCACCCTTCAGTTTGAGGCAGTGTAGTGCAGTAGTGAAGAACATGATTTGAGTTTTGCCTTTTTTTTTTTTTTTTAAATACTTAACTCATGTTTTTTTTCTTTTAACCGCTAGTCTACCGGGGAGATTTTGTAGTTTTGAACCCTGGCTCTTCCGCACTCCCATGTGACCTTGGGCAAGTTGCTCAATTTCTCTGTGCCTCAGTTTCTTCATCTATAATGATGGTGATAATAGTACTACCTCATAGAGTTGTGGAGAGCATTAATGGGTTAGTTAACACATAAAATGCTTAGAACAGTAAATGGCACGTCGTAAATACTATTTTTTACATTTATATATGTATGATTTGTATAAAAATAAGTTTGCTAGTATTTGGTCATTCAGAGAATGGTCTTTACAGTTCAAAGTATCCTGAGTTACAGATACAGCCTGATTTTCTTATCGATGCTATAAATGCTTATGTGTATATTTTACCATACTTGCTTGTAAAGCACTGGCCTACCCTATGGTATCTTTCATACAGATATGAAATAGGGTTTTGCCAACTATACTTAACCATACTTGGCCAAATGCATGAACAACTTTAAAGTTTCAAAGTCAGCATGTGATCTGGTTTTCTTCTTAGGACTCTTGCATAAAAGCTGTCATATTTTAAAATTTTTAAGTACTAGCTTCAATTAACTACGAGAGTTTGTTGAACAATGACCGTATTGATTTAATTTGCCATTATTTATATATTTTTTGTTCAAAAGTTTATTTCTAACTATGCCAGTGAACCCTTCTCCTAAACTTGAAAATGAATTTCTACATTATCTGCAGATGATATCAGAATGTACCAAATATTTATGTTATTCAGGTAAAAAGACAACTTTTCAAAAGTATAAACCTTACATGCACATTATTTGCTGTATGATAAGTTAAACGTACCTCTCCAACGTATTCCATGACAAAACTCATTCTTTTAATCTTCACAAGGGTTTTTACACCCCAGCCACGGCCATTGCTAGTTCGAAAGATGCAAAGTGAATATTGTGTGCCTTTTTGTACAATCCTATTGGGACAATCAGGTCCACATTGACACCTTGAGTTGCATTCATAGATGGGGGTACCGGGCGGGATTTTAATTTGTTGGTTTTTGTTATAAGCCAAAAGAACTCCAGCTTCAGCAGGACAACATTTGTCAAAGAAGCAATCCGTGCATGAACAACCACATGTAGCTTCGTTAACTAAGCTGATTCCAGGAGCTGGTTTATATTCATTAATGTAGTAGAAGTCTGAAGGTGGGCCCTCTAAGTCAACAGTATTTTCAACAAATATCATTCCTTTATGATTCTTTCTTCTGTTGAGTTCATCCTGCCATCGCTGCAGAGCTATCCTTTGTTTAGCCTTCTTCACAATGTACTCAGCAACCGCAGGTTTCAGAGTTTTGTTACTGTTTTTTGGAGTTACTGCTTTGCCTTGCTTTACCTGAGATAAATAATTATGCTTGTCATTAGAGAATTGCTGAAGCAGTAATGGGCACTTGAGATTTTGTAAAGGTTCCCAAGTATTTGTAGAATCTGGCCATCCTTTCCATTTTACAAGATAATATTCCATATCCTTGAAATACAAAAGAAAATGCAATTCAGATTATGATAGTCCCACTTGTTGAAAACATTTAAACATCTTAAAGAGTAAGGTATCCATTACCATTTTTCTTAATAACAGTTCAGAATATGTAAAGAGTCACATGTTCCTAGCAGATGAAGTACAAATCATACAAGTAAAACTTTTTCTTTACATTACATAAAACATAGAATGTAGATGTGGCATAACATGTTTGACAACAGGCTAAAGAATCTTACTTGGAGAAAGAGAAAGGTACTAAAATTTATGAATATTTTACTAAACGATGATTAGGTTAAACCAAACCATGATCATATCTCAATCATGAAAATAGATGGTCCCAAAGTTAACTACTTATGACCCAGGTTAGTGGCTTACTTGGCCAGCATGGGTAATGGTACTCTCTAAGGTCTGTAACTTAATATCATACCCTGGACATGAGGGAGCTTTTATTTCTCAATGTCACGGGCACACAGGCCCTAGATGTTCTAGAGATGCACTGTCCAATACAGGTATTACTAGCCACATGTAGCTACTGGGAACCTGAAATGTGGCTAGACTGAATTGAGATGTACTTTAAGTAAAATGCACACTGAATTTTGAAAGCTTAATACAAAAAAAGAATATAAAATATCTCTAACTTTTAAAAATACGGATTACATGTTGAAATAATATTTTGGATATACTGGATTAAACATTATTAAAAGCAGTTTCACTTGTTTCTTTTTACTTTAAAGTAGTTGCTAGAAAATTTAAAATGACATCTGCAGCTTTCATTCTATTCCTATTAGATGGCTCTATTCTAGAGAATGCTGACCTTACTTAGACTCACCTGTGACTGGATTAAGCAGCAGGCACTCAAGCCAACAAAGATCAAATATTCTGATTTATCCCTCAGACTACTGTTGGCCTGCCTGGTTCCCAGACTCTTGCCTTTCCACCCAGTGACTTGACTATGTTTTCTTCCCCTAAAGTCAGGCAATGGCATGTTCATTAAGTTTCACTTTAAAATTAGGCTGTTCGGTGTGTATAATAAATAAAATCTGAAGTGAAGTCTCTCAGTAAGCTTTTCGTTTTGTCTGCTGGAATAACTAACATATATCCACATGCCCTAGGGTGAAGTAAAATCATAAAATGTCTTCTGAAATAGTGAAGTGATTAAACTGCATTCGACAGTTTAATTATCATTTTCATTCATAGATATCAAAAAAAACTTGTTAATTGCGCTACATTTGCTTTTCCCTGAAAATGTTAATAAAGTTTTAATTACAAAGTAAGGCTGCCCATGACAGTTGTTGTAATATTCATGATTTATTGATGACAAAGGACTGAGGCCTGTGGTGGCTGACGTACTGCTGAGGCACCGACTGGGCTGAGGAACACAGGAAAGCCACTGTGCGGGAGCAAGTCGCCCACCCATGAGCGAGCTTATTTTATCCCACTACCTACATTTTCGTGGTTTGTTTTAATGTATTCTATTCAATAAGCAGTAATCCTTGTGAATTAAAAGAACTTTGTTTTCTTTGGAAAACTGGATAAAATTTTTTCTGCTAAACAATGTGATTAAATTATGGTGTGAGGATATGTGCAAAAACTGTCCTTCTGTGGAAGTAAATACATATTGTGGTTCCAGGAAAAAAGCCTAGACATACATTTAACTATGTGTCAGACTGATCCTCCGTAAGGTTTAAGGACTTCTCCTTCCTGTCAAGTAACTGCTAGAATTCGGGACTACTGTTAGCAGGTTTCTGCTCAGGCAAGCATGTAAGAGAGCCAACTGGCAGAATCTAACATATCTATTCCCCTTAATTCTGTAAGTTTTTAATTTTTTGGATGCTAGAATAAAGCAATGCCTGGTCCTCTGTTTTTTTCTGCTACAGTTTTTCCTACCATAACCCTGGGTTATGTCAAATGCTGTTAGCAGACAATGAAAAAAACAGATACATTGGCTTTAAGTCAGATGATTAAATTATCATCCAGCAAAACTAAAAACATCTACTGCCGAAATTTATTTTCAAAATAATTAATTGTATTCTTTAATCTTAGATGAGTCACTTGCATTTTAAGTGACTAAGTTTTATATGTTAATCACATTGTTACCTACTTAATTTATGTTTGTAAATATGCTCATAAAACATGACTGCCTTTGGCAAAATAATATAGAAATCTTAGTAATATTTTATTTTTACTTTACAGACTTGTCTTTTCTTTGTAAACACATTTTACTTTTAAAATCCAAAAAAGATATTGCCATTTTGAAAAATAAGATCATTTACACAGAAAAATCACATTGACTTAAGAAACAAATTCAAGTAATCTGAAAACCTAAAATTCCAAATAAAAGCCAAAAAGTTCATTAAACTTATGTATTATATCAATATCTTACTCTGATACGTAATCAACTCTTGATCACCTATAGAAATGGAGTACGAGTAGTAAAAATGATCCATAAATCACTCCCATGTAATTTGGAATGCATCATATGAATTTTTTCTTAAAGACATTTTCCCCCACTATGGTTGGCTTAAGTTAAATTTAGTCAAAATTTTAGTATCAATAATAAGTGTATGAAAGTTTGGTCACTAGGGGTTGTGATGAAATGTAAGGTACTACTAGCATTTAGGAGCAAAATCTCATTGGGAAAAGAAGGCAATAATATGTAAACTATGCAGCAACGTAAGACAATCTATACCATGAAAATATAAAGAGGAAAATCAATATAGGTGAGACAATAGGAAAAGGGAACAGAGGAAGTAGAACAAACTACACTGCGAAGGGCTGACAGAATTTGTTCAGCAGGGAACGTGGCAGGCAGGATGAAAAACATAAGCAAAAGCTGGGAGCTAAGATTTGTTTGAAGTGTCCAGAAAACACTGAAAAGATAGATTTATCTAGCTTTAAAGTTCCGTTCTTACAATTCCTAGAAAGCACAGTGTCTCTATGGGGAGCTTCATTAAATACAAATACATTTTACTCCACCTTGTTGGGAAAGTTTACAGATCTAATCGCCCAGGCAATGAACTCTTCGGCCCTATCTCATTTGACCTCACTATAGCAGCAGCTACTGCGGGACCATCCCTTGGGCTCCAGTATCACTGTTCTCTCTTCGTTCTTGTTCCTTTCCTACTTTCTTCACTGAGACTGCTTTCCCTGCCCCTCTCTTAAACAACTGAGCTACCCAGGACCCTGTCCTCAGCCCCTTTCCATGCTAAACAAGTGTTCATCCCTTTTGAGAAAGGGATAGCCACGGACCTTTCCGTAGCAAAAGCCACATAAGTAACATTTTTGGCAACTGCAGGACATCTGGATTCCAGCTTAAGAATTCCTGTTCTAAATGGGCCACCTCATCACTCCAATGTTTTTAACTAATAATTATATGCTGAGGATTCCTAAAATTTTCTCTGCAATCCCCTATATATCCCATAGGCTGCTGGATGCCCAACAGGTTCCTGGACAATCTATTCACACACAACTCACACTGTCCTTCCTAAACTCATCTGCTCACCTACTGGCACAGGCCACAAACCAGGGGTGCAATCTCGATTCCTTCTCCTCAATCCAATTCATCACCACGTTTCTTTAGAGATGGCCTCCTTCCCGTCCATCTCTATTACTACAGCTTTAGTTAGCTCAGGCCCTCAACTCTTGCCTGGTTTATTAATCTTCCAAAAGGCTTCCTTCCTCCAGACTGACAACACTCTGTCCTCTTCATCACAGAGTTTCCTTATAAAAAACAAAAATCCACAGAACCAGTTATTCTGTTGTTTTCTTACTTGAAAACTGTTAGTGGTTCCTACACTGCCACTAACAGAATAAAGTTCAACTTCCTGTTAACTTTATTATTACTACCAACTAACTCCTTCGTGTTCCCATTTCTGATTTAAACTATAAGCTACTTGTGGGAAGGGATGGCATCTTATTCCTCACAGCCTGAGAACAAGCACAGTTGCCCACCATATCTCAGGCTCTGTATAACAAAAAATATGACTACCAAAATGCATGCAATATAAAAATCACAACAGTAACTATACAAATTCTTAAAAGAAATACAAGCTGTTCAACTGAACCTGGAGGTAGCAATCCATGGTTTCTCAACATTTGTTTTTGTCACCTGCTGTCTATAGTCAAGAAATGGCAGCAAACTCCAAAACTTTAAAAGAAATATATATGGGAGAACAAAGACCAAGAACATTTTCTATCTTTCCATTAGCTAATTTTTTGTGCCAA